CACTCAACCCAATTATCAGTACTATATGCCCTCAAATACAAGCCACAAAGGCTTCAACCCTCACCATGCCCAAAAAAAAACGTGTCAGTACAGCCCACACACTTACCACCCAAAATCCATGCATGACCATACGTCGCCAAGCCATAAAAATGTACCTCACAACAATCCCACAAACGTATTTAGCAACAATCACGACATTCACGACAACAATACACCGACAACATCCACCCAAAGGACGGTTTTCAGGCTAACAAACACGCACAACTCGCCCAACAAGCGCGACACTCGCGCCAAAAGACGACAACAACCAACAAACGCATGCACCGTCGTTAGTAACAATCATCTCGTCTACACAAAACAATAAAAAATTGTTCACCTTAAAAGATGCCATATACACTAACAATAGAAATTTCGATATATGACTTTAATAAATTTGTTGTTCATAGTGAGAACAGGTTAGGTTTTGAACAAACAAGGATTTCGCGTGACACCTTTTCATTCACAATTTTTTTTTTTCGATTCGTGTCACAGGTCACCCACAAAACTTTTCATTTCAGGCCACAGACGCCTTTTCAACACACCTGTGACACGTCTCCACCCAACACGCGTTCACGTCGTAAGCCTCATTTTCACTCAATTCCACTCTAATATCACTGAATAGCTTTTTTTTTCTAAAGTCACGACGACCATTCGATTTAATAAATGGATACAACATCCGGCTTTTCAAAATACAAATAACGTCGAACTTACACCAACTTATCTCTTCACAATGTATTGGCAGACCATAACACATGACACAAGACATCGTCAAACAAGTAAAACCCACAAATAAAACAAAATTTCGTACACCAAACATATCACACACGCACACAAAACAAACATTTACAAGACAAAAACACTTATGACCAACGATACAAGCAACCACATTTCGAAGTAGGTGATCTAGTATTAGTAAAATTATATCACCACCCAAATACAGGGAAACTTGCGCCATATTTCACAGGACCTCACACAATATTAGAAATTATTTCACCAAATGTGGTCCGCATAGATCGACCAAATCAACCACTTCAAAGAGACACTGACACAATCCACGTCAACAAACTTAAACTGTATACAGAAAAAATCCATTATATATCACCACCCACCGTTAACACCTATCATATAAAGCACAACCCCAATTACACGTTCCCTTTCAAACATTTAACACCCGAATTATTCCCAACAGAGTCATTAAGGTTCAAACCCACCAGCAGCGAACCTTTCAAGCATTTAGACCCTGCCATTTTTGCAACAAGACGATTTACATCACTCTTCCCCGATGTTAAAAACTGTAAACCTGACAACCAGTTCAATCATATCACACCACTCCCTAAAGATATCAAACAAGAGAACTGCGAACCTACCAATCATTCAAATTCTACAATTCATAAGGTTCAAGCAAATATTTCAGAGTCCCCAGTTACAAAAATGTGGACGAACATGGGGCAATATCCTATCTTTCATCTGATTTTTATCCTTTGTTTATTAGTTCTACCGTACAACTGTATCCCAATTTTATTCATTAATTACCTGTTTATCTATGCCATGCCCGCTCAGAAAATCTTCGAACTACAAGAGGTAGTTTTTAATTTAGGACAAGCAGTTTTTAATTTTGGACAAACAATTTTTCATTGTGGACAAGCAGTTCTTCATTGTGGACAAACATTTATAAAACTTCTCATAATTTTAGGAACCATCTTCGCAGAAAATCTAAATAAACTCCGAAGAGATAGCAGTAACTGAAAAGATGACCAAACAATGTCGGAGAAATCACGCTCCAAAAACAAGCCCCGAGCCACACCCAAAATAAATAGACGGCAGGAAATGAGAATTTGAAACACCACGACAGGAAGTATAGTCCGCGGCGGTTAAATTCGGCCTCTGTAAACAAAGCGGAACGCCTTCGTCCGATCTCCAATTTCCCTCCCTCTCGTTTGCCCGACACACCCCACTTCCGTATCTCTAATTACAATGAGAAGATCCCCTATTGAGGTCGACTGGGAACCTCACTATGCCACCGGTTTTGATTCCAGTTCGAGTCTACATATCGATTTTTACCACCCAATTACACATCCACGAAACAACACCCAGAACTAGCTCACACATCTCTTACACAACCGACTTCTAACATTTTTCACAACACACACACAAAGACAAAAAATTACACATAAAGGTTATATAGATTTCCATGTCTCCTGTACACACAGCATAAACGCACTTGAGGGCTAGAATCACGTTTTTCACCTAAGTGTCACTACAGATGAGACAAAAAATTTATAGGGCATAATTGAGCAAGTAAAACATTTATAGGGCAAAATGGAGCAACCAATACATGTAGATCAGGGCATGTAGATACCATAGGGTTCAAACCAATACACCTTATTTTTCATATCAATCATTTCCATTATTTTCTCTCAATTAAAATTTAAATATTTAATCAATTTATCAATTTATTCAACTTATTATCAATTTTAATCATTAACTATCATTTTATTTACCAATTAGTTTATATTATCATTTTCACTTATCAATTATCATTCTATTTACCACTTGACTTATATTGCCACAACTCAATTATCAACGAAAACCCACTGGTTTTCGATTAAACTAAAAACATTAAATCACCCTTTGTTGTTGAAACCTTTTTATTTTTCAATTTTTTTTTTCAAACGCTCAACTTTGATTTCGTTCAACTCTTATTTTATTTTTATTTTGATTTCTCAAAAGACCTTATGAAATTTCCTCGAATTCCTTTCCAAAATTCAAGCAAAAAAGTAATTAGGCATTTTTCCTTTTTTTTTTTTTCACCATTCAACCAAGCACTCAACTTTGATTTCGCTCAAAAAACTTTTATTTTATTTTTATTTTTGATTTCTCAAAAGACCTAATAGAATTCCTTCGATTTCATTCCCAATTTCGAGCTAGAATATGGTTAGGCATTTTTCTTTTTTTTTTTTCTCACCATTCAACCAAACACATTCAATTTTGATTTCATTCAACTACTCTTATTTTATTTTGTTTTGATTTCAAAGCGCCTTATGAAATTTCCTCGATTTCTTTTCTCAAAAGTCGAGCAAAAAAGTAACTAAGCAGTTGTCTTTGTCATCATGCAACAAAATATTTTTCTTTTTCAACCAAACACATTCAATTTTGATTTCATTCAACTATTTTTATATTATTTTTATTTGATTTCAAAAGCCTTAATAGAACTCCCTCGATATCATTTCTTATCTCGAGTAGAATTCGTTTAGGCGCATTTTCTTTTTGCCCACTATGTACCATAACATTCATTGATCTCTTACAATTAAAAAATTTTTTGATTTCTATTAATTATACTCAACCTATATCATCAACCCCATTCTATCTTACTTTTATGTCACCAGCAATGCTTGTATATAGCCCCTCAATACCCACAACTAATTTTCCCACAAAATTATTTTTCATTTTACAGAATTCTCTCAGGCTAACCCCTTCTTGAATTCTTCACATGTAGGGGGCGCATCTGTCATAATTTGTATATAATTAAATGCAACCCCGACCCACTATGTATGTACCATGTATGATTTTCGAAGACTTAATAAAGAACAAGGTAACTGGAGGGAAGCAAGTAACATTAAGATATAGGAAGTAGACCTAAGGCTGGCACGACTATTCTGGGCACCCCTGTGTCAATATTGCAGGGGCAGAGACCGGACGTCTCTAGTGACCGCAGAAGTTATTTTAGCCAAGATACACTCAATACTTCCTGACAAAGCAGGATGTATTTTGATAGCCGCGGAAGTAAATAAAGTCAAATAAACACGAGACTTCCTGACCCAAGCCGGGCGTAACTAATATCAAAGGAAACCGCGGGCCAATCAAAAGACAGTACCTTAAGTAGGTCAACCAATAGGAAAAGATCATGTGACATCTCTCGACCAATCAGAGAGAAACTGAGGCTTGGTGTTAAATCGGAAAACAAGAATGAGTAGTTAGGTTTTCGCTCTCATAGGAACAACACCGGCAGTAGTGATTTAGCTTCCAAGAAGGTGACATCTGCTCTAGACCTCTCTCCCTCTGCTCATCCCACAGCTAAGTACAATCACCGCCATGTGATCAACTAATTAATAAGTCAAATCGCTCAACCCTTCTCAAGCTTTCTTCCCTCCAACACAGTTGCCTCTTATTTTCCAACTCAATCACGTGTCCTGATTATTCCTAACTGTATGCTTCACTTACCACTCAACGACTGCGCTTCAACCAATCCTCACCATTCAAATCGAACAACAAGCAATTCCGCAACGATATTACCACAGAACGGTTAAATCGACAGGATTCTACAACAGTGTAATACATCAAATATTATAGTGTAATAACTATTGCATCATCATATTACATATATATAATATAATATATAATACTAGCGGATGTGTACCCGGCTTCGCCTGGGTTTTATCCAAGTGAAAGTTTGCCTAACGAATATTATATATTATGAAGTATAATAAACAATGTTAAAGATTAGTTTTAATTATTAATCAAGATTGTGTGTGAATATGTGAGAAAGATGTAATATCGTTGTTGTTTTCTTGGCCGACTGTTTTACATATGGTGTTATCTTAAAATAGCTTGTTTTGAATATTTTTTTAGATTGAGTTGAATGAATTGCTGAATTTTTTTTTTGTATTTATATATAAATAAAATTAACTCTGTTGATTTTTTGTATTTAATCGATAACAGCGAAGTTACGCATGTTAATGTTAGGGAAAAATATTTTGATGTTAAGCAAAACCTGCTCCATCTCGTTTTACATAAATGTTGAAAATTTGGTCGAAATTGATGCATTGTAACGAAAGTTTTTAGTGAACAACACTTATGAAATTTGCATTTTATTAATATAGATATAAAGGTTACCGATTTAAAAGTCTATTTTATAATTTTAGATTGTATAAGAAACATATTTTCATTTAAGTATTGTACTTGTGGCCTAGTGGTCATGGCATCTGCCCGGTAAGTGGAAGGTCGTGGGTTCGATTCCCTTGTAACCCTTGACACTTTTTTTATTTTATCCATTCTGACCAAAATCTATCCGTGAACTTCACACAGTGAACTTCACACAGACAGAATAAGGCAATTATATAAGTAGATTTTATATTTTATTGTAAACAATATGTTATATTTTTTTATTGTTAGAATACCATTTAACTAAAAATTGTATGCCTAAATAAGTCGAGAGACTTTTGGAAATAAAAACAACGTTAGTGGCTAACCGTGTCTGTGGTGATTAATGATCCTACAAGTGTATGTTATAATCTACTAGCCGAATGACCCGGGCAACGCCCGTGTTTTACCCGATTGAATGTTTTGATTCAAGTACTATTTGTTACAATTATAAATTGGCGCCTTAAATAAATGCATATATTAGTTAATAGCTATAGCCTATGTGCTTTATCTGTCTATGTACTGTTGGCTTCCGTAGGCGTCTCTTACTGGGAAAAGGAAAGAGAGGATTCCATTTAGTTATTAACTAATATATGCATTTATTTAAAGAGCGACCCGCTCCAAACCAATAGTTACAAAAACGAAAGAGCGAGTGGGGGAGGCATGATGGGGGGGGGGCAAAGGTGGCGTGACCGTAGCCAACCAATAGGAGGGCGCCATTCCAAAAAAAAAAGCAACAGTGGTGAACTCATTCAGCGGTTTCACCCAATTAATCTCCAGACCGCTCTACTATTGTATTGGGTTCGTTTCTTATAAACCCTGTATTTATATGGAAGGCAGCTTAGGGGTGTTTAGACAACCTCTGTGGACATGAGCTAATAGGTCTGTATAGTTGCATATATAGAATTACAAATTAATACATCGAGCAATGATCTTCCACAAATATTATTTCATATTCCAGCTATTATTTTATGTTTTTGAATCAACCCATTCATAATGCTAATTACACAATTTGCACTATTTTTCTAAATGGAATTCCTACACAGTTTCATCCAAATTTTATAGTCACACAATTTGTCACATCACACGGCCAGAAATACTTACATAAAAGAGGTCTATCAGAAACACCAAATTGTTCCTGCAGAGAAACTGAACAAACTTCACCTTATCTACGACTGTCCGAACTTTACAGAAGTGAGACATCGTTTGTTCCCTGATCTAAATGATTTAAGATTCTTACTTCAGCCACTTTGTCTACATAAATTTTATGAACTCTGTCGATTAATACATGTAAATTTGTAAATATATAATTCTAAGTTCTAATTAGTTTGTTGTTTTGTTTGTTACCTCTGTAATAGACGAAAATATTTCAATATCGCGACTGGTTGATTGATAAACTAATTTTAAAATTATTTTATGTTTATGTATGCAAATTAATGTCAGTAATTTACAATTTTTGATGATTTATATCATGAGAACCATAAATTCTAAAGAAACACATTTCTATATTTCTAAATTGAAATTCATTTTATGAAAGTCTGTAATTAGTAAATACAGTTAAACCTGTCTATAGCGCCCCCTCTAAATAGCGCCTCCCTCTCTATAGCGCCCGATTTTAAATACGTAGTACGATGCGATTTACATTAAAAGTGACCTGTATAGCACCCCCTCTCTATAGCACCCTATTTTGGTGAGTCCCAAGAGGGGGCGCTATAGACAAGTTTAACTGTACATAATAAATTTTATCATAATTTGTATTTTGAAGTCTGTTAATATCAGTATCACCCTCTCATTAGGTGTCCTCTTACTGGAGAGATGATAATTGACATAATTCTGGTGATGAAAAGTGACCTCTGTAGAGAGGTGTCCTCTAACGGGAGTGTCCGCTCATGAAGGTATCTCTACTGAATTTTCAAACAACCCTTGGTCAAAATGTTTAAAAGTTTTTCAAATATCAGTTTTCACTGAAATAAAACTATAAGTTTCTCTCTCTTTACCTTTCCTCCATTATAAATAGGACCGGCCCGCTAAGATTTGATTGGAGAGTCTGGTTTTCTGGCCGGCGGTCTGAACTAAGAACATCTCAGGTAGACAGCCCAATGGTAGACACTATATCTCATCGGTAATGGTAGACACCCCAATGTATAAACACTACACCTCAGATAGTACTACAATGTATAAACACCTTTGGTAGACACCCCAAAGGATAAACAGTACATCTCAAGTAGCACCCCAATATATAAACACCATATCTCAGCGGCAATGGTAGACATCCCAATGGATAAACACTATATCTTAGGTAGACACACCCCAAGGATAAACACTACATCTCAGGTAGAAACCCTAATGGTAGACACTATCTCAGCGCCAATGGTAGACACTCCAATGGTAAATACTACATCTGAGATAGACACCCCGAAGGATATAAACACTACATCTCAAATAGACATTTCAATGTATAAACACTACTTCTTTGGTAGACACCCTAATGGATAAACACTACATCTCAGATAGACACCCCAAAGTATAAACACTACATCTCAGATAGACACTACAATGTATAAACACTACATCTCAGATAGACACTACAATGTATATAAACACTACATCTCAGATAGATACTACAATGTATAAACACTACATCTTAGGTAGACACCCCAAAAGATAAACAGTACATCTCAAGTAGACATCCCAATGGATAAACACTACATTTCAGCCACAATGGTAGACATCCCAATGTATATAAGCACTAGCCTGACCATCCTGAAAAAGCGTCAAGTTGGGAAGAGAGAAGATGGTTCAAGCTCTAGACTGGAGCAATGAGGATGTTCTTGCAGTAAATGTTGAACGTCGCGTAGCTGAGAGTGGAGGGGAGGAAACAGACTTCTGCGGTGAATGTGCTGGGGGTACAAGTGGGTTAGACAAACCTGTTGCCATATTTAGGGAACACGAGCCAAATCTGACTTCAATAGAATCTCAACTTTCTCTCGGCCAGATATTACTGCCCGATGACAAGTACCGCCTGAACCAAGAATGAATTCCTGGAGCTTCACTTCCACGCACCTGTTGAAGACAAAACTTGTGATATATGCAACTGAATAAAATTAACGCTTCCCTTCCGTCTTATTGTTTTATCGCTAAAATTTTATAAATTTGTAATACAAAGTTCGAATGTGAGAGATGTCCTTAAACTTGTTGATGTAAGAAAGTTAAATAGTGGAGATTATACAACGGTGTATATGCAAAAATTTTCTCCGACGCTGTCTTCACGAGGTGTTCCTATAGGAGCGGGGGTGGGGGTGTGATGACGCAGCAGCGGGGGACCCCGGCCGAGAATCGATAAGCACCCCTGTTCCACCCCAGCACGTAGCCCGCTCAATACAGCGGAGGTCTGCCGGACGGACGGGTCGATTGGCTTTCACACGCACCACGTGCTTGTTTCACTCTGCAGTCGTCGCCTTCGTTGCTTCAGTCAGACAGAGAGACAGAATCTATGGTAGATGTGCAGCGAGTGTGGCAGGGAATGGACAGAATCTATGGTAGATGTGCAGCGAGTGTGGCAAGGAATGGACAGAATGGTATATGCTGTTGGACTCTGACTGACTGCAGTCACTCAGGACGTACAAGAACTTTGATACTTCAATGAGACGAAGAGATCCATATATCCTACGGCAGGTAGATATGGCAGAGAACAGGTGTGGGGAAAGTTGTGGTCAATAAAAAAGTTTCCGGGCCTACAGCCAGACAACAGGTGACCCACGCATGCGTACTCACCGCGAGCCGCACCGGCGCCGGGACGTAGAGGACGGGGTCGCCCGTGCCACGGTTGGGATCGGATCCAATGCGGAAGCCTTTAGCACGCACCCAGAAGCGGAACTTGGAGTTGTCCGTCGTTGAGGGCTCCTCGCCCCGCAGGATCGCCAGGATGCGGCGGTACTTGCGCAGCGTAACCGTCTTGGTCTTGGCGCCGTCGCCGTAGGTACGGAGGGCCCAGGCCTGGTAGGCCTCCTCGGATGGCGTGCGCGTCATCCCGGCGCCGCGCCCGACTGCCGCCGGGCCGAGCTGACGTGGACAGGTGCCGCCCGGTCGATGCATCGATCCTCCCACCCCCCGCGCCGGTCGTTCCACCCGGGGACACCCTCGGCCCACCGCCGGCGGCCAAACTGCTACTTGGTGTGAGAGAGAGAATCTTCCACCGTCCTGGATAAGATCCGTCATGTTAAAGAGTGATTGATGGACACATCAAGTTTTATTGAAACTCCAAACGAATAAATATTTCTCAGAAAACCCTTAGCCGATATTAAGAGACAATTTCCATGAAAAATAAATGATTCAGGTTTGAATCCAGCTCAATACAATTCGAAACAAATTGTCTGTTTCAATCAACTCGTGGCTGCATGTCGGTCAGCATTCAAAGTGATGGATCTCGAGCTGTTTAGGGACCATAAATAGCTCCTCCGTTGTGCATCCAGAACTTGTCCTGGAGTAGATTGTGCTGTTACAATGTGGACAACAACATTATTACTTCTCTTTTTACCCTTAACAAGCTTTAGACGATTTCTGGTAAAAAAAAACTAACCACAAAACAAAACAAAGAAATTATTATGAATGTCCAATCAAATTTTTTCTGAATATTTATGATTAAATACACACATGGACAAAACTTAAGGAAGTTGTACCTTTCAGTATGTATATCTGGACTCAGACAATAACTCTGAAAGATATTACAGTGACCTTTATTGAAGACACACAAGATAACCAATATACACTCATGGACAAAACTTAAGGAAGTTGTACCTTTTACCATGTATATCGGGATTCAGATAATAACTCTGAAAGATATTACAGTGACCTTTATTGAAGACACACGAGATAACCAATATACACTCATGGACAAAACTTAAGGAAGTTGTACCTTTTATCATGTATATCGGGATTCAGATAATAACTCTGAAAGATATTACAGTGACCTTTATTGAAGACATACGAGATAACCAATATACACTCATGGACAAAACTTAAGGAAGTTGTACCTTTTAGCATGTATATCTGGATTGAGACAATAACTCTGAAAGATATTACAGTGACCTTTATTGAAGATACACGAG